AACAGTTCAACCCGTAAATGTAGATGTGTGCAGCGCATTTTATGGAGGACTGTTTCCTGGTAGAGTAGACTACAATGCCGGCTGTTCTTCTGACTCACAGCCTGTAAGTACGTTTTATATATTTAAAGAATTTGCCACAGATGATTCAAACGCGAGTTTTGAGCAGTGTAGAGTAGCGCTTGTTTGTCATTTCTCCGATCACAAATGCAGACATGGTTTTATGTTTACGCGGCGCGATGCAATGCAATGCGTAAAAAGACAGTATAAGTCATTATAATCCGTAATTATGTCACCACTGGATGCAACAAATGCCTCGTTTATAATGGGTTTTAATGTTTTTGTCTTGTCGCTCCGGCCGGGACACGCCATCACAGTATGGTAAGGGGCGTAACATTTCCGTCACACGCTTGAGGTATTCGGCCAATCACAACGCACTGGATAGCTGGCCAATCACAGCACACCTTGCTTTTCAGACCGATGAGCTTTGTAAAAATCGACGCGTTTCAGAAAGGCGGGGCATAGAGGAGAAACAATAATGTACAGTATGTGGAAAATAATGTTTTTTTTAACCTTAAACCGCATAAACACATTTCATTACACCAAATACACCAAATAATGTTCTTTTTAGCAACATCATATGACCCCTTTAATAACTGCCATAAATTCTAAAGTGGTTATAAGATTTATTTTAAACTTGATTGTCAAATCTAATTAGCATAAGATCACATTTGCATCCAAATGGTAAGTAAATGACAACAAATGGACCCAAACTGTAGCCATAAACTTTTACCTTTTTAACGTTTACCTTATGTGAATTCATTCTGATTTACTGAATTGTCAAGTCAAGTCACCTTTATTTATATAGTGCTTTATACAGTACAGATTGTGTCAAAGCAGCTTTACAGTGTTAAACAGGAAAAATGTGTGCCGATAATGTAAGAGGACAATAGAAAACAGTCAGTTTATCAGTTAAAGTCAGTTCATTGTTGATTTCGCTCAGTTCAGTTCTCTTCCAGTAGTGTTTGTGCTGTCAAGTCAACAATGTTGCAAGAAATTGTGTCCCAACTAAGCAAGTGCAAGGTGGCAAGGAACCAAAACTCCACCTTTAACAGAAATGGAGAAAAAAACCTTGGGAGAAACCAGGCTCAGTCGGGGGGCCAGTTCTCCTCTTACGATGTAGTGAGTACATCGGGTGTTATGGGAAGTGTTCCCGGTTCCGGTTGACCTAATTAATGCAGCCTAACTATCCTTTAACGGATTTGAAATATGGAAAAGTGATTGTGTGTTATGTGTAAGCCAGGTTAAAGAGATAGGTCTTTAATCTAGATTTAAACTGACAGAGTGTGTCTGCCTCCCGAACAACGCTAGGTAGATTGTTCCAGAGTTTGGGAGCTAAATAGGAGAAGGATCTCCTGCCCGCAGTTGATTTTGATATTCTAGGTATTATCAAATGGCCAGAGTTTTGAGATCGCAGTGGATGTGAAGGACTATAATGCAGTAAGAGCTCACTCAAGTACTGAGGAGCTAAATCATTCAGGGCATTACAAGTAATTAGCAAGATTTTAAAATGTATACGCTGTTTAATAGGGAGCCAGTTCAGTGTTAACAGAACTGGACTAATATGTTTGTAATTCCTGGTTCTAGTAAGAACTCTAGCTGCTGCATTTTGGACCAGCTGGCGTTTGTTTATTAAGCGCGCAGAGTAACCACCCGATAAAGCATTACAATAATCTAACCTTGAGGTCATTAACACATGAATTAATGTTTCTGCATTTGATATTGAGGGCATAGGTCATAATTTAGATATATTTTTAAGATGTAAGAATATGGTTTTACAAATGCTAGAAACATGATTTTCAAAGGAAAGGTTGCTATCATATAGCACCCCTAGGTTCCTAACTGATGACGAAGAATTGACAGCACAGCCATCAAGTTAGACAGTGTTCTAGATTATTACATGCAGAGGTTTTTGGTCCGATAATTTACACCTCTGTTTTTTCAGAATTTAGCAGTAGGAAATTACTAGTCATCCAGATTTTTATATCAACTATGCATTCCATTAGTTTTGTGAATTGGTATGTTTCAACATGCCACGAAGAAATATAGAGCTGAGTATCATCAGTATAACAGTTAGGAATGGGCCGGTATGAGATTTTAACGGTGAGATAACCTTAAGCAAAAATATCACGGTTTCACTTTGTTTTTTTTAACGAGAGGCTTAGTAACAGCCAGTTTGAAGGTTTTTTTTTTTACATATCCTAATGACAATGATGAATTAATGATATTCGGTAGAGGATTTATGACTTCTGGAAGCACATCTTTTAGAATAGAAAGTGTGTGTGTGCCTGTTGCTGCATGTCACTTTAGTGTGCATTGTGAAACAGGCCTTATCATTGCAGAAGTGCATTTTGGGTAGCTGAAAGTTCAAGCAGTGTTGTGTTCTGACTTGATATACTGCTATACTTGTACATCTAAAACTATTTTAAACTACATTTTTATTTGTTTTTTTATTATTGTGCATGCAGTTTTGAAGAACTGATTGAATTGACAGTCTATATGGACAATTAAAAAAACTGGCACATTTAAAAATGTATTTGTCACATGGAACTAATTCAATAAACTGCAAAAATACAGTGCTGTAAAAATACAGTATATACTGTATATATATGCCCAACTGTTCACGTTTACAATGTAAGAGCCATGAAAAGATTATTTACATTTATTATTTTTCTTCACTTGATTTATTTTTGCAGCTTTATGCTGCCAGTTTGACTGGAAACTAGCCTTTCTGATGGATTTTTAAACAAAGACGACTTGCATTATGCTTCAAAGGCTTTCATTTAGATTGTTATGGTTTAGGCTTGACACTAAAGTGATGTCATATTTTCCTTGGCTTAAATGGTGCCGTCCCACAATTCATAGGGAGCGGGAGCAGGAATTAAAAAAACTGGCACATTTAAAAATGTATTTGTCACATGGAACTAATTAAATAAACTGCAAAAATACAGTGCTGTAAAAATACAGCATATATAAATATATCAGTTTTATTACTAAAATCTTGATGGGTAAAAGAGAAAAGTTGATGTCCTTGATATTTCTTAAATACCCATTACCATTTAAAATATTTCAAATGTTTTGTAATATAGACACAGCACATGGGAACCAGAGGAGAACATCCTGGATGATCGACTCATCATGGCCTTTGAGCAAAAGTGAGTGTCACTTAAAGACTTTAACTGTTAAAACTTTATTTCTATATAAAGTGTAAAGAACAAAAATATTTATTCCACATACAGTATGAGCGGCAGCAGGAACTTTACGGCCCAAAGAAACGTGGACCTAAACCAAAAAACTTTGTACTAAAGGTTTGAGTTTTCTTAAAACTTTCTTTGAAATGTTTCCATTTTCTAATTTCAAAAAATATACATAAACATTCTGTCTGATGCTTTAGTACCTCCCAGTCACATTTGCTCTCCGCCTATCTAGGCACGGGCACAGGCGGGTGATAGACCTCGAAGCTCAAATACCCGACGCACTCCACCTCGCACCACTGCCAAGCCTCCTGCCTCTTCCTCTTCTGCAAGTTCATCCTCTTCCTTCTCTACCGCTCCAACCCCCAGAGTGCACTCTCTCGCCGCTGCTCATAAACTGAAGAAAGACATCCATCGTTGTCATAGGATGTCTCGACGACCTTTGCCACGACCCGACCCCCTAGGCGACCCCACAGGATCCACATCCTCATCCCGTCCTCCCATCTCTCCATTCTCTGAAACTGTCCGCATCCTCAACCGCAGGGTCAAACCGCGGGAGGTTAAGCGAGGACGTATAATCTTGAACCTGAATGTCATTGACAAATCCGAAAACAGTGGAGTAACAAGTAGAAGGTCACCGCAGTCGTTCGCGGGGCGGGCGAAAATCCCATCCCGAAATCGCATCATTGGGAAAAAGCAGGGGGACATGCCTTACAGGCCTTTCCAGCATCCTATGAAGATGTTGGGCTTCCCGATGTACGGCCAGCCGTTTGGGCTCCACCCCTGTGGGTCAATGTCCTCCGTGGCCAATGAAGAATCCAACACTGGAGCCAATCAGAGAGGTGGAAACTGCTGTGATAGCCATTCCTCTGCTAATGCGCAGAAGTTTCAATATCAGCCTCCACCTTCTCCATCCAGCTTCAGTGGGTCTAACAACAGCTCCCCTTCACTTCAGAAACAACCAACTCAACCTGAAGCTCCTACGTCTCCAACTAAATTGGACTCTGCAGCCTCCTCACGTTCCAGAGATGCCTCCCAACCTCCCCCAAAGTCCAGCTCTGCGCCATTCCTCCCTTCCTCACCCTCCTATTCGTCCTCCCTGTCATCCTCTCTTGAAGATGAAGACCAGGGCTCTCCGAATCTCGCCACTTCTCGGGGCAGAAAACGGAAACTTCGACATCGAACCCAGGTGGGTCGAGCTTCGGTCTGCCAGGTTAGTGACCGCACTACCACCCCGCATCCTGAGGAAAATAGGGAGCCAAAAGAGGGGGATCCCGATTGGAACCCTGAAATGGCACCCAGCTGTACCAATGTAGTCGTGACTGACGTCACCACAAACCTTCTCACAGTCACCATCAAGGAATTCTGCCATTCAGGAGCGGGTTCTGAACCCTCTTCCCCTTGCCTAGCTGACAACCCACCCTGTCCCACCACAGCTGCCTCTTGAAAGTTACCCTAAACGTTTCCGACAAAAATATATGCCCATTAAATCCCATGAGAACTTGCCATAATGATATTCATGCACCTTAAAATAGTTGGCGTTAATGAAATTAAAATGTATTTTTGGTGAAATTAAGATATATTGAAGTAATATTTAAAGGCAGGGGTGCTTCCCTTGACCTCTACATTTTAAACAACATGCTATGATGGTTTTGTAGTACTTCATGCTTTTCTTCCCCCTCTTTTTTCCCCAGTGATCCTGTCTTTTTCCCAAGTAATTGCACCTTGTCTTGTCACCTCCAGTCCAGTAGAGACCGTCATTCCCATATCTCCAGACCTAAAGTTCAGAATCCACCCAAGAAATGCTGATCTCAACAGCTTTCTTAGACTTGAGATGTTGCACCAAGACATTTCTAATCATTTGAAGTCCATTTTCATTGGGATACTGAGCACAGGATGCTTCACTCCTGCTTTGGAAGTTCAGCCAGTGTGGGTGAAGATTGTGTATCCGCACAATGATGCATTGATTTCACCAACTTTCTCCTGTGCTGATGAAGAACCCAAGTCATTGTGGAGCTTGCTATATTACACGGGCGTAGACGTGACTGTATTTATATGCACCAAGCTGCAAAATCCTGAGGACAGTTAAGTTATTTCCTTCTGCATGAACTCCGCTCTGATCCAGATGTCTGCCGAGACTCTAAACTGAAGTGTGAATGCTGAGGACTGCATCTGCTGTGTGGTACTGTACGTTAAACCTTCCACATACTCAACTACCCACTTTCCTTATTGGAGAAGTACCTTCTCATATTTGCCTTCTGACTACAATAGTTTGTGTTTCACAGGGATTAAAGTTCCGTCGCTACGACGGATTTCCGTCAGTTCATAAAGACCTCATTCCTGAATGATTCAGCCGTTCGAACGAATCAATTGAATGAATGATTCAGTGATAAAATCAGTGACTTGCCGCCACCTGCTGGCGGATTTAGTTTCATTTTTTGCGTATAATTTCAGTTATTTTAATCATATTTCTGTATTTAAAATTTTATATTTAAAACATTAATCTCCACATGAATTTATTAAGTTAATTGCACTCATGCCCCCTCTGAGCCTCATTAAACGTCTGAAAATTTACCTACAAGCCACTTTTGTCGTCTTCTGTGCACCCTCTGTAGTACAAATAAATTTTTTAATACTAATTTCATATGATTGGTAATTTATTTGTCTTATTCATGTGGAGATTGTTTTAAATATACAATTTTGAATACAGAAATATGATTTAAATAACTGAAATGATACGCTAAAAATGAAACTAAATCCGCCAGCAGGTGGCGGCAAGTCACTGATTTTATCACTGAATCATTCACTCAATTGATTCGTTCGAACGGCTGAATCATTCAGGAATGAAGCAAGTGACTGTCTTTATGAACTGACGGAAATCCATCGTAGTGACGGAACTTTAATCCCTGGTTTCATGTAATAGTTACTGTATTTTTGGGGCCGGTAACCAGAGGTAATTTCTCTCAGAACTTGATTGGAGGAGTTCAAATACCATTTAGAGACTTTTACATTAAGTGGGTCTCAAAAATACCAAATATAACAGATTGCCTTGGTTGATGAAACGCTCTTTCACACTCTCAAACGATACAGTCCGGGACCACGTGTATTGTGTGTTATGCTGATGACTGCATTTTGTTGTCCCTTGAGCTCATCCCATGTTGTCTGCAGGTCCGACTGGGCGCCAGCATTGACAATACAGACTTGGGATAAAGCTAGCTTGTTTAGTTAGTCGATGATAGGGATGTGTCAGTACTTATATTTTGAAATTGGTCCGATACTGTGTACTCATAAAAGTTCTCCAATACCAATGTCCATGCAACAAATCTATCTATCTATCTATCTATCTATCTATCTAAGCAGGAAGTATTGGTATTCACATTATTTAAACAAAAATGGTATCTGTGCACCCTTAGTAGATATACCACTTGCTGTCAGTTGTAGTTAAACGTTAAAGGAATAGTTCTTACAAAAATGAAAATTTTGTCATCATTTACTCACCGTCTTGTCATTCCAAACCTGAACAATTTGTGGTATGTTTACCAGAATGTTCATGCTCTTTTACATACAGTGAAAGTGAATGGGGACCAGGGGCTGTAAATCTCCAAAAAAGACAAATGACTTGTACGCTGTATTTCAAGATGTTTAAAGCCATTCTATTGCTATGTGTGAGGAATGGACTGAAAAAAGTTGGCTTGACAGCCTTGGCCACCATTCACTTTCATTGTAGGGAAAAGAGGGGCTTGGACATTCTGCTGAATAACTCCTTTTATGTTTTACTGAAGGAAGGTTTCAAAATGCTTGAAGGTGAGTACATAATGACAATGTTTGTGTGAACTTCATTTAATATTTAGCATTTTACTGAAAGCTAAATGGTTTAGTTGCAGCATGGTGTCATTTTATTATTTTAGAATTTATGAAAGTTGTGGGAAGCTTTTCGCTTAGGCTTTTTTGGGCAGTCCAGCAAGCAATATTGTAACCTGCCACATTAGGCTTGAAGAAACAGGTTAAAACACAGTTTATGGCAGCTAACTTGGTTGTACTGAAGGATGATGAAATGTCAGACTCCACCGGAGGACAAAGGCAAACCTTATTATAAGATTTAATTATAGAACACAATTAAGTTCCACTTGTACAGTCGTCCTCTAATGGAGCACTATTACTCGATCACTGTGCCTTTAGGGAGAAATGAAAACCTTACAACATTTTTATGACTTTTTTTTAAAGATTTTCCCCAAATTATTTACAAATATTGACAATTTTTTAAAATCTTTTCATATTTTTAGTATGTGTATGTGTGTATATAATAACTTTCTTTTAATAACGTTAAATGGTTTTAGTTTACTGGCTTCCAGACATTAATGTGAACTTACCTACTCTAAATGTTCTTTTCTTTTTCAAAGTTCTTTAAATGTTTATTTTATTTTATTATTATTATTTTTAATCATAGTTATACGTTTATCCCAGGTCTGAAATAATTAATGTTCTGAACATATCCCTGGTGCTGCCCCACATAGGGCGCCACGTGTGGTGCATCTGTACAATAATATCTAATATCGAAGCATGTGTTGCCTTTAGCTGCTCTGTTTAATCCCATGATGTTGTTATCTTTGCCTACAAAGTGTTCCACATACAAACAGTCAAGTCCTTGTTTACCTTTACATCTTTAATGTTAGAAAATAGATGTCACTGTGGTGTGAAACAATGCAAGATGTTTTCTCCTAAAGAGGTAGCTTAGCACTATGATAACATTTGGCCTACATTTCATGCAATAGGGCTTGTATTTTGTAGCCACTAGGGGCCCTCACTGCACAGACAAGAAGAGATTATGTTTAAAATGGTTAGGATGAAGGTATACTGGAGGTTACCTCCTCAAATATCAGTGTCTGATGTGTTTTTGTTTGTTTTAAGATTTATTATTATTAATTTTTCCATGCCGTAGAAATGAATGATACGTGCTGTCTTTATTTTATAGCCATTGTTGTTCAATTTTACTAGTCTACTTTGGGTTTGAGAGAATGTAGAACCCAAAAAACAGAACTAAGTGTGATTTATATGAGTTATCTGTTTGGTAATGTGTAAGGTTAATGCCATTGATGAAGCTGATTATGATAATGAACTTGTTGCTATGACATTGTAATGTAGCGGGTGCATGATTTGGGAACCCTAATTGTACAGGTCATTTAAATGTCATAATGTTGTTGTTGCTTTGTGTTTTTCTTGAAAGAGGCTTTTAATAAAATCACTTTAAAGACACTGTCTCTTTGGTACCCATTTAATTCTGCTCTTATAACTTTCTATAGGACGGAGACTAGTTTGATTAATGAAATATTCCATACGTTCATATGATACAGTCATAGAAATATTTCTTGTATTATGCTTTTTTTGTTGCACTTGAATCTTTACAGCATTTATCCCAATTTACTAACATTGTATGGAAAAGAGCTGCATGAACATTTTGCTTAACATCTCCTTTTGTGTGTTTTTTTTTTAAGTAAGATAGAAAGTCAGGTTTGGAACAACATGAGGGTGGGTAAATGATGACAGTTAAAATTTTTAGGTGAAGTATGGCTTTTAAGAGTCAACGATCACCAATATTACCCACTATGTGTTGTTTAATCTGCTAGAGGGTGCTCTGCAATTAAAATGTTAATTTGCAAAATGTTTTCATTTATTCTTAATTGTTTAAAATTTTTTCCCCCTTATAAGTAAATGGTCTATTACTTTTAATAATCTGAGCAATGGTAGTGATGTTGCTTGCAGGGCCTAGGGAACATGTTTTCAACCACTTGACTAGACCATCTCTCCTTTCTCTGACACACCCATTTCAGGTCTTGGAGTCTAAATAATGAGCTGATGATCTGAATCACCTGATGTTTGATTAAGGAGACATGGAAAACATGCAGTATTGGGGGGCTCCGGGAATGTGGTCGGGAACCCCTGCACTAGACTACAGTTCTCATGCCAGATTTTCCATCTGTGCGCCTCTGCTATCTAGTAGGGTCAGGAGAACCACATGTTCTATTAATAGCTGAGAAGTTTTTAGACTAATTACGTGTCTTTATTCCTGGCTGCACAAATAATCATGCTGCTGTCATAATCATAATCAGTATGATTCTTAATGGGAGCACCAAATTAATTTTGAATGACCACATAACATCTCTAAAATGAATTGTCATTGTAGAGAGGCATAAAAACGATATTCTTGCGCCTCCTGCAGGAGATGAATGTATAACGATTTTTATTTTTTATAAATAGCTAAGGTATTGCTATAGCCTACTCCACTTCATACTTAAAGGGTTAGTTCACCCAAAAATGAAAATTAGTCCATAAATTACTTACCCTCAAGTCATCCTAGGTGTATATGACTTTCTTCTTTCAGACGAATCCAGTCGGAGTTATATAAAAAATTGTCTTTGATCTTTCAAGCTGTTTAATGCCACTCAGCGGGTGTTGCTTATCAGTCCAAAAGAAGTGAAATAAAAAGTGCCCATCCATAAAAAAAAGTGTCTCACACGGCTCCGGGGGGTGAACAAAGTCCTCCTGTAGAGAATCGATGCGTTTTTGTAAGAAAAATATCCATATTCAAAACGTAATAATCACTTTAATGTAGCTTGCGCTCACT